AAACTCGAACACATATTATTATAAGTTATCAATAAAAATGACAAAAGCTTAGGCAGTATCAATGACCCCCTACATACTGTGAACTTCTGAATTTCCAGAAACATACTTTACGGCCGTTTGTACCGGCAAATTAGTTCTCTTATCTTTACTCTGATGAACTCTGGACAATAAATGTACCTTTCTACGTACAGTGAGTTGGAAAGAAAAAAAAAACCATAGTTGCCACTTAATATAATAGTTTTAAAATGTTTTGATAAATTCATTGAAATGTATTACCGAAGACGATGACGACGAAGAAGTTGACACGGAAGATGAGACACTATCATCGGCCAAAGGGGCCGTTTCTTCATCGGTTCTTTGACCGAAGCTTAGCAATACTTGCACGGAAAAAAGAACAAGGACGATATAGAACGAGACTACTGTGTTGGATCGCATGGTTTTCTCTATTTTTTATTCCCTAGGTAGAAAATCACTTGCAGCAGTCGATACTGTAGAAGTAATCGAAGGATTCACGCGACCAAGTACTTATATATTTGCGCAAAAAAATATGCCGTAAAAGATAAAATAGGTTAATTATGCGTCGCTACGTTAGAATTTTATCTGTTGGATTTGCAATTGAAAAATTGTCTTTTTTCAAAGTGAAAAATCGGTGAACTACTATTTGAAGGTTTCGTTTGCTTAATGCTTGTGCTTGGTATTTTTTTGATAAATTGAAGATAAAACCAATCGTTTTGAGGTCATGTTTTGCATCTCTTTTATAGTTATAGTTACAGTAGTAGATTATACACAACCAATACTTGACGATCTACTTCAAAATTAATTGGCATACACTTTTTATGTTACTTAATAGACTTTTTGTGTTCATTATAATAAAAGTACAAAATTTTAAAAAACATGACCAAAGACATGTAGAAAACAAAATTTTTCCGCCCTCGGGTGGTTTTGGGAGGCTGATACTTCCTCGGGCGAAAAAGCAGTTTTCCGGAACTCGTTCGAAAAGTCTCCTTTACGAACCTCGTTACGTCCCTCGCCTTCGGCTCGGGCCGCAAACCTCTCGGTTCGCAAACAGAGACTTTTAAAACTCGTAGGAAAACTACTATATCCACCGGTTACTTTAGACTAAGAAATTTTTTTAATAATAATTTTATTACATTTTTCAGACCCTTTTTATCCTTTTTGTTACTGAGTTTTGAAGTTATGAAGCTATAGAGTTATGAGGTTAACAATATAGAAAAGGAAAATTATGGAGTTTAATAAGGTTGTCAAGCATTGGTGCTTACTAGTTTTAGCGGTGTTTCCTGTTTGGATTATGAAAAAAATCAGACATGCTTAATTAGATCGGATGTTAATCTCAAATTTGACTTGGTATTTTACATAGTAAAGTAAGATTATATTAATGGATAAAAAAAAGCTTTCAGTCATCTTATAGTCTCAGCAAAAAATTTTAATCAACGATTTACGTACATTTTTATAAACTAGCCATTACATAGTCGTTATTAAGCACTACGTGTACTATAGTAGTAATAAAATAAAACTATCCCATAGGTGTGGTGAAAATATTGTTGTTGCTGTTGTTATTGATGTTGGTGTTGCTCGGCTGCTGACTGCAGGGGAAAAAAAAGCAGCGGGGACGAATTCCTTGCATGCCTTGATCCTAAAACAAAAATAAGAAAAATATTAAGCTTACAGGTACAAACATTAGTAGTATAATACTATTTTCACATCTATGAACAATTTTTTGCACATATTGGAATCCTGTTGTGACAAATTAACAACGCCCCTTTAAAATAGAATGCACTAAAAATTTCAGATCCAAATATACATAAGTGGTTCTTGTGAGTTTTATTTTTTTTGTTCGGGAATGTTTGATAAATTTTTGGAAATAAATTCTTAAAAAACCTTATAAGCAAATCAGAGTTGACTTACAGATAGACTTTGGCATAATTATTTTTTAGATTTTTAAACACATAAAAAAAAATTTCCTTTCCTTACGACAAACAATTTTTAATTCGTTACTCCTTAGCAGATGGTCACAATACATTTCAGATACTAAAGTTAAATGTAAAGTATTTTAGAACAAATATCAAAAAACATTTTTAAATAAATTGAATTTCTTTTTTTCTTTAAAATTGTAATGCATTGTTTTGGTAAGAAAAATTTTGTCAAGCACTGTATTACAAGTAGTAATGTAAGGAAAAATTTTTCAACATAAAAAAGCAATACTTTTTTGCAAAAAATTTGATTTAAAAAAAAATTGTAAAAGTATCCATACCCAAGTGTGTTTACAGAAACACAATCGAGTGCGACTGTACAACCAAAGTTTATTCATGGGAATTACACTATTTCAACGCACATGTGTATCACACGTTTCGTACACAAGTGCAGTACTGTAAAGGTATATATTATGTCACTGGGAGCGTGTCAACTTTATGAAGCGAAAAGAAAAACGTGCCAGGAAAATAATATCCTGACAAAATGTGAAAAATAAAACGTGGCTCCTCAAAATATTGACGGAATGCCTTAGCGATATAAATCTAGCAAGTATGTAAGTATAATACATATTATTAACTACCACTCTTAGTCAGCTTTCCTCGTAAAAGGGTCAATTTGCTTCATGCAGCAATTTGAGACAACGCCACTTGAAGCGGAAAATTTGTCGATACTAACTAACAAGAATACACAGCCCTTATGAACAGTAATCTGTATTATAAGCATTTATTTCCACAAAAAAGTATCTTTAATAATAAAAATAAATATATTTAGTCCGAAGTAGCATATTAGTAAACCAAAAAATGCTTGTTTTTATAATTTAATGAAAAAAAATTAAGTATNGATATTATATTGTTGTAAGTATATTTAAAAAAAAAAAAAAAGTTTCTTCTACAAAGTGTTCTGACAATTGACATTTCTATTAAATTTTACTTTTTATTATACAATTCTAAAAAATGACCGTTTCGGAATTAAAATTTTTCGGAAAAAAGACACCCCTCCACAATGGCAATGAAATTACATAGATGTATTTTTTTTAATTATCTGCAACCAATGACTCATACCCGCACTTGTATCCGCACAACTGTTTCCCTCCCCTGGTTGCAGTTAGTCTATATGTATGACGTGTGATCAATTTTACAAAAAAATCATCCGTTACAGCACATAGTCAGAACGAAAAAATTTTTTTTTCATATTTTACAGCCATTCTAACGAACCATGCGTATCACAGCTCTGCATTGTCTTACTCTCTTGCATGTATAAGCTATTGTCAGTGACATATTGAAAAACCGCCATCAATTAATTGTGAATAAATCACTTACACAGCAATGGGGCATCTTAATTATTTTATATGGCTTTTGAGCCATTAGACCACAGTTTGAAACGCGCACGTGAGGAATAAATTTCCCCCGGAGGTGCGAGCCAAGTGAGAAAAGGCCGAGCCTCGAGAACTAGTGCTTAATACACTGCAGCCTAAAATCACTATGCTATTGCCGTGTAACCGTGGCCGCGTTATGCTCTACAAAAATATGCATGTCCTCATTTTTATATCCACTTACGACTATGTTATCGATACTAGTACCTCGAGTGGAAAAATTTTGAAAAAAATGGCCTCGTTTTCACACCCATTTTTTTGAAGGTGCCAAGTGTTCGATTAACGAATTTTCATCGAAACTGACCAAAATGACTAGATTCTCACATCTCTCTCGACCATCAAATATCGTACGGACAAGGAACGAAATTTTTCGTGGAGTTGCCCATAGACGCAGCCACTCCGCTCTCCTCCCCCGCACAAAAGGACGAGAGCTGCGAACGTCATCATATCGAGAGAGAGAAAGATACATTGCAAAAAAATTGCGTGCGTGCGCGCGGGTTTCCATTAAAGGGTCTCCTGAGGGGAGGCCATGTAAAACAATATGACGCGCGAGGGGAGCGAATGGGGCGCTTAATTAATATACCGCTCGTGTGTGTGTTTTTCTTTGAATTGAAAGAACGAACGGAATGTTATATACCATGTGCGCTTCGTCAGGAGATATAAGTATTTCAATGTACCTATATGAAAAACAACTTTGGGTGCCGAGAATCTCATTTCATCATTTGTTTTTATTCCTTTACTAAAATAACTGTGATGAAATATTTGTGATAGCAGGTATATATGAAACATTGAAACTGTACACACGTGTGCGATTGCCTCAGTAAATTTATCTTATCGTAAATGCCGTAGGTAATACGTATAACGACGCCTCAAGAGATAGTTTTTCGATTTTACCCATATAAATAAGAGAGAAAAAAAAAAAAAATACACAAATACATTGTCGCGTACACACATTTTGGTAAACGAGTGAGAATTAGTGTTATGATGTAAGTTCGGCGTAGGTGCCTTTTTTGTTTTTGTTTCTAGATATAGATACGTTCCTATCTTTGTTTTTTAGTCGCTGAAGTCGTGGCGTACTATTGCTACATCGTTTTTAATTTTAAAACACAAGAGGCTCGTTATGATAGTTAAGGTAAGTGCCGAACAAGCTATTGCGTTATCTCGCCTGGATACCTATACGTTGTGTACCTGCATGAAAACCTGTATAAGAGCGAATCCTCGGAAAATCTCCATCGAAATCTAAAAAAACCTACCGAACTAAGGTTGAAATTCGTTTTTCTTAGGTTTTTTGGGGGTATTTTACACTGAAATTGGAAAAATGTTATATAGTTTTTTTTTTCACAAATAAAATAGTAACCGTTTTTCGAATCTCTGAGAAAATTTTTCACTCAAAAACCGTTGGATGTAGCTGAAAAACTGCCAAGAAAAAGCCAAAAACACCAGAAAAATCGGATCACCGTAGAAGTGTTACCTCAAAACAAATAAAAAGTTTTTCTTTTTAATTTCAGAAAATTACGAAACCAGATGTTTTAGCGAAATCCTCCATATACATGTAAAAAACGCATCTTTTTCTCTCTCTCTCTCTCTCGTTTTAGTTTCAGTCAGTACGAGTCTGGTACGAGACTAAAAGCTCAGCGTCGCGCACATCGATTTTGCACCGAGAGAGTCGCAAGTTTTAGTTTAAGAGAGCGGCTCTTCTCTCGTGTGTTGTTGCACATCTGACCTTAAGTACCTACTTACCTACTGATACAAGTAAATAATTGATTCCTTTTTCTCCTTTCTCAATTTAATTTCTATGATATTCATAAGAAAACACGTGTATGTGTAATGTACACATTGCCTGATATTGCGTCGCACACGAGGTAACCGTACTTATTCTACACTTCATGACTATTGTTGTTTTATCTAAACTATAAGTACGAACTGTGAATTAAAATAGGTATACGTGTACATAGCTCCGTTTTCCAAAGTACAACCTTATGTCTCGTCAAGCACTTGGTTAGTTGAGTATTTGTGCGCATTTTACTCGTCATATATCAATCAAATGTGTCCGAGTGGACGAGAATCATTTTTCTGCTGCAGGTGTTTGTTTTCGCTTGTGTTTTTGTTGCCTGTGCCGGGTTATTAGGTATATTATCAAACTACCCCTTCGCGAGTGCCATCAAGTATTCTATAATGTGTCTATAAATGATTTGAAGAAATTCATTGTACGTAAGTATAGGGTTTTTTTTTTTAATAGAACGACGCATCAATCACGTTTGAAGTAACGAGCTGTCAAATGACATCCCGACTAGACGAGCTATCTCTTTTTTGTGGGTGCTTTTTTTTTTCATTCAACTACAACTTTTTATTTGCTTCGCATTCGACCTTTTTTCTTTTAAAATTGGAGTGTTTAAACAAATTACTTTGCATTGTGTATACATTTTTCTGTATAACCTTCAAACGATAGACGAAATATATAATAGTTTTCAAGAGCGTCTCTGTTAATCGAGTACTTGGCTTTTGTATTTTTGCAAATCGATGGAACCTTGGTCTGTTTTAATTAAGTTGATAGTGTACAGTGAAATCGACGCAATTTACTTGCCAAACGCTTCAAAATAATCAATTAGTGTTAATTTTTGCAATTGTACATAAAAGTATACAAAGTTTATCGAGCATGAAAGCATAATTGAATGAAAGTAATTAGACTTGTTGATCAGATATAAATAACTTTAGATGACCTGGATTTTCCATTGAATTTTCCACTCCAGGCCAAGTGGTCGTTTTTTGTTGAAATACATTTAAAATGGGAAATAAGTAAGTGTTAAGCTCTATTGAATTGTCTAATATGGTATGAATTCAATTTAGGGAATCGTGTCACTTTTTGTTCAATGTAATAGTCATTAATAGCGCTTGGAGGAAGTTTAAATTGTTTTGCTCTACATGGCTGGCTTTCTCTTCTTATGCAAATTGCTTCTTGTAGGCGTTGGAAAGTCAGACAGACAGGCACATCCTCCCACTCTTGTTAGTTATTGTATGCTGCACACTAGAAAGATGTTGCATTATGGCTATGTTTTTTTTTCTCTTTCATCACAGCAAGGAACTGGTCTTTTGAGTTTTATTGGTGTACTGAGGACTAAAGTGGGAAGCAGAAATGATAATGGTGACTACTGCCAAAGGAAGCAACGTCTCTGAACCAGACCTGCTGAAGAATGGTCAGGACAAGTGATCGTCTTGATTTGTTCGACTGCTCAAAAGTGCCATGAATTGACAGCGATGCCATTGTGATAAAGAGGACCGATTTTCATAAGTGAGTTATTTTTCAGTTCAGTTTTATATTTGTCCAATGGTTAGATGATTTGTAAACTATACGTTATTATACAGTTTTGTTAAAATTAATTTCTTCCTATAAATTTCAATGTTACTATTTAACACTTCTGTTTAAACTTACTAAAGTGGGCGTTTTAATTTAATGCTACTATTCTGATTTTGAAGCTTTCAACAATTAAAAAATTTTTTTTTTAAGTTAATAGAAGCCAAAATATTACAACCATTAATTTAATTGTAACGTTTAATGAACTTGTTTACTTAACGGCATTGAAAATCTTTTCTTGGATCATACACACTTAAAATTTCATTGATTACCAAATCTCAGATCTCGATTGGTTGGTGAGAAGGTTCTCGGGGTGCCTTAGCTTGAATATAGTCATTCAGCAGCGCGTACAAATGAGGAGAGTGACGACTTGACAGAGGTAAATATTTACAAACGTCAATAATTCAACTTCTTAGTATCGGTACCCTGCACCGTACTAGAGCAATCAAAATTCACAACTTCCTCTTTTGCCAGTTTGACGACAGCAATCGAGCCTTGACTTTATTACCTCGTGTGCTAAATAATGCAATTGAAGTCCGGGAGCCGTACTTTGTACCACTGCTTTGTATAATTAATGCGCGTCCCAAACGAATTGCAGGATCGTGTCGTACAGCATCGTAACAGATCACAACCTCCTGAAGCCGTGAAAAAAAGTATAAGGACAGTAGCAGCCGAGCCCAAAACAACAAACACACCGGAGTTGGTGATGCGGGGATGTGGATCTGTTGCGGCCATCTGAGGAGCCGAGACGCCGGCAGTGCTGCTATTTTCGGTGGTGCTGGCTCGCACGGTTACGCTCGCCAACTCAGTTCCCTGATTCTGTTCGCCTTGCTATGCTGCTGCTTCCAGAGCACGGCAATCGTTGCCGAGGTCGCTCCCCAGCCAACAACGCCGGCGACTGTAGAGTGCAAAAATACCACGCGAGCAGGTAGCGATGCCGGTGAGTTTCTTTTTGTTTAATTGTTTTAACATACCCTCCATGAATGTGGTATGTAATGTACGCGAGGTACGTAAGGTCTGAATTGTTTATTAACTTTATTCATTACAGATTCCCGGTTATTGGGTATCGGCCAGTCAACGTCGTCGTCGTCGTCGGTCGAGCTCAACTTGCCACTAGTGCCTCCAGCCTTTCTCAACGGAGCTCTCACTTGCCAGCCTTATCAGGACATCAAGGTGAACCACTTGTACTTCCAATTGGCCAATGGTTTCTTCCTACTGGCCCACCTGGCACCGGCGAGCGGCCTCCACGGTGTACTCTATTTGCGCTGCACCCTCCTCATAGGCTGTGCCTTCCTCGCGCTCTGGGCCTGGACAGTTGTCTGCTGGTTGGACGCCGTCCTCTGGAACGTTCTGTTTATCGGCATCGGTTTCATACACATCTGCGTGCTTCTCTATCGGCTCAGGCCTATTCGTTTTTCCAAGGAGATCGAGGAGGTGCGGCATTCTCATTCTCAATTCAAAAGTTTTGTAAAAGCCAGTCCATCTTTTTTAACGTTTCAATTTGATTCAAGGTGTACGTCGCTGTCTTTCAACCGCTTCGGGTGTCCCGGCAACAATTCAAAAAAGTCCTGAGCTGCATGAAGACCATCAGACCCCTCAAGTATCAAGAGGTTTACGCTCAGGAGAAAGTCACCAAAGTTGATTCGCTTTCTTTGGTGCTCTCGGGGAAGTGCGTGTCGAGTTTCAATTGTGACGTAACTTTACATCGACTGCTCGGAGAATGATGGTGCAGTTTTTTTGGAACTGTCAAGTTGCTCTCTTTTACATCGTGAAATAACTCCGAGCAGCCGACATTAGTGTTTAAGTTTGAATATGAAAACTTATGAGCAATGTTTCGTACAGGTTGGTAGTGTCACAAAATGGCAAGGCACTCCACATAGTTTTTCCACATCAATTCTTAGACTCGCCAGAGTGGTTTGGTGTTTCCACAGATGAGTTTATTCAAGTATGTACTTAAAACATGCTTTTTTTTCTTCATTCATAAATAAGAACGTATAAAAATCATGGGGACTAGGTGTTAAACGTTCGCTTGCGTTTTAATACAGGTTTCAATCACTGCTATGGAGGAATCGAGGATTTTATTGTGGCATCGTGACAAGCTAAAACTTAGCATAATAACCGACCAGTTTCTCCAAGCGGTCTTTGATCATATTCTTGGCAGAGACGTGGTGAAAAAACTCATGCAGGTAACTATTTTAAGAACTCGTTCTTTAACCATGTGAGCTCTGGACTCGCAATAAAAGTATAATACATGTACAATTATGTTTGCCGTACTCTCAGAAATTTTTTTTTTTTTGTTACGTTTGAGGCAAAAATAAATTTGAACGTTGCTGAGCGGAATTATATCTCTCCGTTAATCCTTACTATCTACCGAAATTCATGTAAGATATTTCTTGAAAGCATAGCGTGTGGTGTGTCATGTTTTTACCCTCGCCTTTTTTTTTTGAAAGATCTTAAAACATTTTTTTTTTTAATATTTTTTCTCTCTTTCGCTTTTTCTCTCTCTCTTTTTTTTTCTAACTTCAATGAACAAATCTTACTAATAATAATAATTTCAATGCAGTACATAACTTCACGTAGAAAAAACGCAGCTCTAACAAACACTGCATGCAAAATGGTTAGTAAAAAAATGTCGAACAACTTTGAAAAAAATCACGGAATTCCAGGTGAGCGAAACGATGGCGGCGAGTGCTCACCAGCAACAGAACGGCCAGGTGATTGGGCTGAGTGGTATGACGAGCCAGGATCACGACCTCGACGTGAAGATGTTTGTTGTAAAAAAAACCAACGACAGCCAAGGCATAACGGCGCTAATTAGCCGTCAGCTGCAAGGTAAATACATCCAAAAAATTTACATACATTGCATACTGAGCCTGGTTAACGCATGCATTTTTGCATGAGTACATTTATGAAAGTTACATTGTTTTTACTTGAAATGATTGTATCATACCAAAACGATGCTTTTTTTGGAATCGTTGCTGTTATGGTTATTTATTACTTGTTCATGTACTTCCAAGTGAATGATGCATGTGACGTTGATTCTGCTGTTATGGAGTATCTTTTAGCGTGAGAGGCAGTTGTGTAAGTTGATTTGTGTTTGAGGAAATTTTTTATGTTTTGGATTAATTTTTTCTTACATGGTTTTCTTATGTATTCAGTGTACATAAGTTGACTATTTTTACCTTTAAAAAGATTAATTTTGTACAAAAAGTCCGTAAAATCAATTCATAGAGTCCTCGTATCTAGCGATAACAATTGAAAATAAAGCAAACCAACTTACACAGCTTCCGAGCCATGACGTAAAAAAAAAAAAAAAACAAGAAAACCAAAAAATGTAACGAAGCAAATCGTTACAAAACAATCAAAAGCCTGGTACATACTTACATTATATTATAATTTTCGCACCTCTTTTTTTTCTTTTTTTTTGCCTTTGTTTCTTGTTTGCCTCCTCTTGTCTTCTCCGCGGCCTGCCCCACGCACGCAAATTACCACCACCACAATCGACCAGAGGAGCGAGTACCGCTGCTGTACTCGAGCTGCGACGTCCTGAGCAACGCCCTTCATCGCCATCCCGACCTACGGTCGCTGCCTGCTAGTCGTGCGTCCTACCTGCTTCCCCCGTATCCGAACAATGTGCGTTCCTCTCGGTAAAAAAACAACCTGATGGCCACGCTCAAGATTTTTCATTGTATTGTTACCGTTCAACGTATACCAAAAATCAGTATATACATGTAGAGACATCGCCGTGTGTACATAATATTTATATACGTATGGTTCAATTTAAAAAAATAATATACATTTGATCGTGATGGAGCGAGCTTTGGTGGAAAACGAGAACAGAGGGAAAGAGAAAGATAGTAGAATAGTTGTGGATATGTGCGTGACAAGGTGAGTCATGATTGGATTCTTGTTGTTATTTTTTATATCGTTTAATTGTTTTCCTTCTAAATAGTCATTTTTTTTGTATTCATTCATATACATTTATGTGTAAGTATAACTCAGCGTACATCATGCATAAACTATAGGAGCATAATAGTAATGTAAAAGCAAGTTTGAATATTTTCCATCTTTGTTGTGAAATGTTTTTGATAGTCTTTGTGAAGAAAAATTTTATTCAACAAAAGTTGATTTTCTTGGAGAAAAATTTTATACTGATTTTACAGAAAATTACTTCTTAGGGTTAAATAATGCGTCCTTGAATGATCGCTTACATCATTACTAGTACAAATTTATAAAAAGGTGCTGAGATGTAGTGAAAAAGTTGAAAAATCAACGAATACTTGAGACTATCAAAAATAAATTTTTTCTAGTCCCTACAATTTGTAAGAGCGTGTTAAGATGTATTTTATAACAAAAAGAAACGTTAATGCAAATTCCACTAGGTTTAGCACGATGGAAAATCTTTGAATTATCAACACAATTTGTTACTTTTGTCAAGCATTATGTACCTTATTTGAATGTATCATATATTTATATGTATAATATTGTATATGCTATTACCATTACTCGTTACTTATTTCACGTTTCGAGGACTGTGCGCAATAATATTAAAATAGCAATGGACCGTATTTTATTTTTTGTTTAAGCTACCGCTGGGTATTATCAAGTCTAGGTTGTGCTTTTTAATATATTTATTTTCCTATCATTCCGCTTGCAATTAATTAACATGTTACTGTATCACCGATATTATGATGGATATTACTTAATAAGAGTGTCAAAGAGTTAAGTTGTGATATTTTGGGAATGACTTATATTTTTTAGTGCAATTGTACTGCGATAATATTTTTGTTTGATTTTGTGAAAAAAAAAAAAAAAAAACACCAACAAGTCATTGTAGTTTTATTCACAAAAATGCTTCGACAAAATTTTACTTGTATTTTTTTGTCGTCATTGTACATGTGTTAGTCAATACAAATAGATTTTGTGACGCTTCTACTGTGTCTTGCAAGTCAAAAGAAAAATGCTACTTACAATTTTAATATTAAAATTTATTTACGTGTAAGGTAAGATACGGAAATAACACGTAACAAGTTACACTAACGTTTGAATCCATAAGAGCAATATTAGTTCAAAATTCGAGAAACAATTCTTTTCTTTTCGACATCGGATTGATTTATTTGTGTGTATTCGAGCAATAATGCTAATTTATATGACAACAATTGTGTAATAAATAATTAGCTAAACTATAACTGGCCTTTTTATTTTGTTTTGACTTTTGTCGATTTAAGTAATCGTAATTTTTGTAAGATAAAAATCGAGCCGTAAGTGTCGCTAAAAGGAATTTTAATCACAGAAATTTGTTTTTTCTTGCACTCAGGTTTACCTAGGATTAAATATTATTACTGTGGTAAGTTCAGCCGACAAAATAATAATATTAATCATCGCAAACATCTTCATCGGCATTTTCAAATCGTTTTCGCCTGAAAAATATTAACCGCAACTTAGAGAGAAGAAAATAGAATAGAAGAACCATTGAATCAACCAAATCATATTCACGCACACATACATTACACACGAAAGAAAAACTTGAGTAATTTATATTTTGTAATTAGTAAATCATTGTAAAAAAAAAAAAAATACTTTTTTCTCTAGCAATGTAATGAATGTTGATATTTTACATGTTTCGATGATAACTACATCAGTAGAATAGTAAATGTTGCCATAGTTAATGACATACATTCCACAATAAAAATCATTCACTTTTGCACGTAAATTGATTATTATATCCATATTGACATCTGCATGTCTGCTGGATTTTATTTAATTTTTTTTTTTTTCTCAAATTATCTCCACGCCTTATGTACGTATAGTTGAAATGTAAAACTCGCGAAAGCAACATGCTATTCTTTCAACATTACTTAACGATTCATGATTTTTCTTTACAATCTACAGACTCATCGAACCATTCACTCAGTCGGGTCGAAACACCAAACTTGCACACACCCACGAAAAACAAAAAAATCCATCGAACGAACTCATGATATACATATTCATGCGAGTAAAAATGTTTGTCTAATGTTTGTCTTTGCAGCTGCGGGAGATCCAAATGCTTGGCGCTTGGGGAGGATCGAAGAGACTGATCACGAAACGCCTGTTTGAGGCTTGGAAAAAAAAAAAAAAAAAAAAAAAACAACTTAATCAACCCACGTTCTCCCTGCTCCCTCCTACGCATATACATTTAGGAGAAAATAATAATAGGTACCTGTTTGTACATCGTGTGAATCATATAGAGGAGACAAAAAAGAATATATATATAAGTAAGTGACATGTATTATATTCTTAACGAGTCAATAATTCAAAAGTCGTTGGAAGCAAAAATTGTGCGATTAAGTACTACATCCACAGTACTAAAAAAATCAAAGGAACAAAAACTCACGCATGCATGATCGTTGCGCAATTGGGGACCGATACCTATGATGTTCACTCGAGACGATGAAGTGGAGCTTCGCCGTAGAACAAAAAATATCGCAATATTAAGCTGCGTACCGAACAATCGTTCACTTCGAATATACGTACCAGCTGTCAATCGGCATCGTTTGAATGTTTCGATCGAGTCTCGTTTTGTTATACTTCCACTCCTACCCTTTGCGCTGCACGCGCGAATAACGTATACGAGACAAGACAATAATTTTTTTTTTTTTTTCTGTAATCAACACTCCGACCAATTCGTTCTTTGTTTCAAGACGAATTTAATTCTATTTTTATAATTAGACGTGCATGTAGAAAAAACTAATGTTTCGAAACACCTTGTTTTTCGACATTTCAATGTAGGATCGAAACAGCGTGAACAATTTTAGCTACGACTTGTTATATTCTTATGTGAACGACAAACACGTCAAATGACCGGTTGAACTGTTCAAACGATGTTCATTTCAACTGAGCGACTATTATAAACTAAACTCATAATTCTACACAGTTATTAACGGAAAAAACGAGTGTGGCGAGAGTGCGAGAAGGAAACTTTTCCCTCGATATTACCGATCGTATGTGTGTGATACATTGTTAAATACGCGGATTCGCTCAGTACGTGACGATTTCGCAATTGTACTATTATCACTATTATTAAATGATAATTATTAGTTATTACGGAAAAAAAAAAAAAAAATGATAACTGCGAAAATTGTTTGTTATGTCGAAACAGATAGAGTTTATCACGTTTGAGGGTTGTCGTAAATGATGTACCAGTATATCTATAACATGTCTTGTTTTTTAATCTTTAAAAAGTTGTCTATTTTACAAGTAGCACGATAAAAGTGTTTCGACACGCTGGAAATGGTGCTTCGAACCTCGTCATGGCTAAGTTACGAAATGCCAAATGCTTCATTATTTGTCATCATAAATCGCGATATCGTGTAAAACAAAAGACTATCGTCATTGACAACAAATTTTTACCTAAATATTTTTCCAACCAACTTTTGGTCCCGATAATCGAAACATACGATGACGTTCATCCAATACAATGAAAACATTTCGTTTTTACAAATGACTCACTAGATTTGTTACAAAATTTACATTACATTTTTCTCGCAATGATAAAAAAATAGTCGTTTTGAAAAACGCTATACGAAAAATTGCCAAGTCCACACAAAATTAGCTTATTGTCATTCTCAACACTTGGACAACAATAATAATTGAATACGTAATTCATACATCCGACAAAGATAAAACTAACGAATTGTTATTTGTAATCACTAAAAAAACGTAAAATTGGTACGAGCTGATACCAAACATGAACATCGTGAAGAGAGAAAAATTTAGTGAAGCCATGAAGGCTCGTTCGTGCAATTGTGTTCAGCCACTCGATGGAAGTTAATGTAGACGCTTGCAATATTTTTTGTGCAGACCTACTGTTTCGAACATTACTTGAGTACATTGATTTGTTGTTTTACAACCTTCACGTTTACGTGATGCTATAGGAAAAACACGAGGACATTAATTATCAGACAAATGTTTTTTGTACAACTGAATGCCTTTATTCATTTAGCTTTGAAGTTTTTTTTTTCTCACTGCCTCTCGAAGAAAATTCGCATTCGCACACTTTTATCGATTATCAAAAAAAAACAATCTGACTTTTTGGATGATCAAAGCATAGATGTTTGGTTGGATTTTTTTTCCACGGAATTTAATAATATCATTCTATGCGTGCTGTTATACTGCATCAGAAATTTGTTTTTATAGTAAGGATAAATGATTCTCAAACATCACGACCAGATATTCGTTTGCTTATTTGTTTTGATCAGATAAGTGCTTTGTAACAATAATTTTGGGAATGACTTATATTTTTTAGTGCAATTGTACTGCGATAATATTTTTGTTTGATTTTGTGAAAAAAAAAAAAAAAAACACCAACAAGTCATTGTAGTTTTATTCACAAAAATGCTTCGACAAAATTTTACTTGTATTTTTTTGTCGTCATTGTACATGTGTTAGTCAATACAAATAGATTTTGTGACGCTTCTACTGTGTCTTGCNAAAAAAAAAAAAAAAAAAAAAAAAAAAAAAAAAAAAAAAAAAAAAATGAAAAAACAACAGGCCTACAAAAACGAAATGGTTGTTCCGCTTTTCAGACAGTCATGTATGCCGTACTTATCACTTTGCAGTCTTTGCACGCGCTTCTTTTGTACATATATGTGTGAAAAAATATACATTTTCTTTGCAGACATAATAAAACTCCTTGTTTCAACTTGCTTTCTTCGTCACGGCTACTTTCATTTCTTCGTTTGATACCTCACCATAATACATATTCTACATTTGAATTCAGTGCAGCATGAATGTGGTGAATCTCGCTATGCTTTGTTCTTTCTTTTTACAAGATTTTTTTCTTTTTCTAAGGTACATTAACAATATACACCTTTCCGAGATCTGTTGTGTTTCAAAATTAACTATTAAATGAGTGTGTATCTTAACTCGCACAAAAAGATTTTATGGATTATATTACAATGATCGGACTTAATAATTCAAGTATGAGCAAAGTGTACTAAAAATGTATCAGCATATCATTGCATGTAAATACATTAATCAATTTTATACCATAAAAATAACACAAAACCTGATTATGCTGTCGATACTTAAACTATAGATAGTTGTCATAACGACAAGTAATTTTTTTTCAAGTCCAACAAAGTGTTAGTAATTATTATTAAGGGTGTCAAGTAGTGATATTTAAATCACTTCCGGTGGTTCACGCCACATCTAAAATCTAGAGTAATAATTTCAAAAAAAATGTCTATTAACTGGTTGGAACTTGCCTCTACTTACCGACATAAATACCGACATTTTATAATACTTTTTTTAATAATTATTAGCAATATTAACATGAAGTACGATAATTTCAACAAGTGAAAAATATTACTTTTCTATTCGTGTATGATACATGATATTTCACTTTCAGGTTTCAGTTGAATGAAATAGTAGATTCCATAGTGAAGGAATATCGTTTTTTCTAATTTTATTACGAATTTAAAAATTTCAATATATTACATTCACATGTAAACATTGGAAGAAACATTCAAACCCAAATAGTTGTTTTGTAAGTCGTCATTATAGTCTACACAATGAAAATATTGAGTGTGCTGCCAAATTTTTCTTGGTGATATAAAAATTGCAATTTTCGAAGTATTAAAAAAAAAGTCACTACTTAAAAATTAAATACCTCAAACAAAAATATTAAATTAGTACCAAAGCAATAAGCAGGCATTGAAAATATTAAAATCGAAAAATTTCCAAGCACACTCAACTACTCCTGTTGTTACTTAACACATCTTGGAGTGTTAAAGATTCTGAGAACTTTGTTACAAAAATCATAAAAACTATAACAAGCGTTCAATGTTTTGTAAGAAAAGAGTAAGATACAAATATTTGCACATAGTTGAATCAAAGTCTATATATAATATATATACAATAAACAAAAATCGTTATTTTTGTAAAAAAAAAAAAAAAAAAGAAGAAGATACCATCGGCACACATCCAGTTACGGCCACGTGATCTTTTGGCGCTTTGTGAGCCCTTCCTCTGCTGAATCCTGAAATAAATGTTTTGTCTTGATGTAAGCGACTCAACAATTGACGTGCATAACTCATTAAAGCAGCAAAACAATAAAAATCTTAAATACGTGATTGATTTACCTCGTCCTCTTCGACTGTTCGTTTCAAACCATTTTTGGCCAGTAAAGAATTTGTGAGTCGTGTGTTTTCCATCTCTGATGCACAGTCAGACACTACATCAGATGACGATTTTAGCCTTTTACAAGCAGACACATTATCATCCGAGTTGTTGAGACTAGTTATCGTAGATCTGCAACAAAAACCATCAATGAAATTATGCTGGCATCAAGAAAAAAAAAACTATAAAACAAATACATGGACATATAAACTGTAATAAACAGAATGAATACTTACTATGTAAATGGTAAGCTTTAGAAAACCATTTCTACATGGCTATGGATATCTTTTGTATCCAAAAACAACTCAAAACTACAGAATAAAAAAAAAAAATTCAAAAAACTTACTCATACAGTTTTGTGTCTGCCTCGATGGCCGTAGGAATTTTTCTGTGTAACCTGAGCTCGCTTAGCCTTTTTCCAAAGCACTTGGCTTCGTTGTACTTCCTCTGGGGCAACGGCATTGCCAGCCTTTTGAACATCCCAATCAGATCTGATTTTTTATATTTCTTCAAGTCCAACAAATCGATACACCTCTGCAACAATTAATACAAAACTGTCTCAACTTTTCTTGACAATTCACCTATTATTTTCCATTCCAATAAAAGGAAACGTGAGACACTGTTTATTGTTTTAATATGTAACCCTTTCACTGAACATCATTATGGTGTGCACACCTACCCTCTTTAAATGATCCATCAGTGCCGTCTCCGAGAGCGATTCAGGATTCACTAGGTGCCGGATTTCCGGTGACATTTCTCTCTCAGCTTGTCCGTCAAATTTTGTTAATGAACTTATTTAACAATTGTGCTTTAATTGTTTGTTCTGTTGTACCTCAAAAACACCGGGAAATGAAATTTGAAAAAAAAAAAAAAACAGAAATGGGTACAGCTGAGAACCTATAGATAAAAGGGAAAGAGAGTGGGAGGTGTAATATATTTTTCCAGCTGATTTTGTTTAACTTTTGAACTTGCAAAAATGCATCGCAATCTGATCGCAGTTTTCGGAGCGATATGTGTTTATGTATTATGTGATGGTTTCCGTGTCCTTCCGTTTCCGTCCTTCGTCGGTAACAACACCACATACAAACAATTGGGCGAATTTCCACGTTTGTGAAAGTGCAACGTCAAATATTCTAGTAAGTGTCCAACCAATTTCTGTAACCCTTAAAAAATGAGCATCCATCGAAATTATTAGATAATTATACATCATGAAAGCCACTATACTAATAGTTTATTGAAAACTAAATAATTTATAAAAGTAACGTACAATGAAAAAAATATTTGTGTGTAAACGTACCTTTAAGTTTGTCTCAACCTAACCTATAAGGTGAGTGGGTGGGTGGAAGAGTGGAAGTGGGAAAAAAAACAAAAACAACAAAGTGCAGTATAGGTAGGTGCGTACACGTTGGATTTCCATTGTTTTTTCCCTCGAATCTTTTCGGTTCCGTGAAATACCTAAATGGATAATAAATAATTTTTACACCACGCAGATGAGCCCAGAGTGTGAGGAACAATGCTGGTCATTTGGAAGAACAGGTAGTGGTTTATTTTCATTTTATCATCATTGAGCCAAGACTAGTTCATTTTTTTTTTTATTGGAATAATAAAGTGAGTAAAAACATTAATTTGAAAAACTCAAGGCTTCCTTTTCTCTTTTCGCCTGCAGGTGTAGATTGCAAGTAGTTTGACAACAATTGTTAAAACAAAGGACATGATGTCGAGCACAGACGGGCTGTTCGAGAGCATGGGCGACCTCGTCAGCTGGTGCTGGGAATACGCCACGGAGATATCCTGCCAGGTGCTCATAGCGTTGACAGCCTACGTGGGGGTGTGCGTTTTTCTTTACTACCTGATGAAACACGTGGACCACAGGGCCTGGCAATTGCCAGGACCTCCTGCTAGGCTTCTGCTGGTCACTGCTCATCCAGACGACGAGGTCATGTTCTTTGGACCAATGATCTATTGGCTTACCCAATCTAGTCAAGTGTATCTGCTCTGCATGTCCATAGGTAGGTCTTATCATCTTGAGGCAATTTTCGTTTGGGTATTTGTTGATTTTGTTGTTTTCACTTCTAGGTGGCGATATGCAGAGGAAGGAAGAACTCTGGGCATGTGCAAAGAGGCTGGGTATTCCTGAGGCTAATGTTACTATAATGATGTGGGTGTTAAAGAAAATATTTTAATGCAGGGCAATGGATACTGATGATTATTATTTATTTTTTTTTTATTCAAAGGTGTACTGAGTTACCTGATAATCCTGCAGTCCAGTGGCCCGAAGAAATAGTCGCTGAGACTGTCTTGCATCACGTGGAAAGTTGTAAAATCGACGCTGTGGTGACCTTCGACAAGCATGGCGTCAGCAAGCACAAAAACCATATCTCTCTCTATTTTGCCATTGCTTCGTTGTGCATTGAAAAGAAAGTACCCACATGTAAGTACACTGGCTGTTCTTGAACGTTTTTGCATGCCAAAATAGTTTTTAATTCAATCACGTAAACAGTGTGATGGAGGTAAACGATCAACTTGATGACCACGCTTTTAGTATATTTTGCTTACGAACGCAACAAACAATGCATGAAAAAAATAGTTGACATAACAATTCATTAGTTATAGTCAACTCGAAAAGATGGAAAACAAAAATTTGGATGATATTTCTGTTTTCAGGAAACAAAAGTCGATTAGAACTACATAGTTAAAAAAAACATTGGTTTCAGATTGTAAATTGTATACACTTGAGTCTGTAAATATTTTTCGTAAATATACGCAATTGTTGGACCTGCCCGTCAGCTTACTAACAGCTTCTTACTGGTACCTGATAACTTATCAACATCGACCTTATATTCAAGTACGTAATGATACAATTTTTTACGATTTACGTTGTATGGATAACAAGATTCAACAATGAAATTTTTTTAGAATGCCATGAAAGCCCACGAATCGCAATACGTGTGGTTCCGCAAGTTGTACATGATATTTTCTCGATACACTCTACTCAATACTCTCCACGAAGTCAATTTACTCGATCTCGAGTTGGACCTTCAACTTGATGATGACGACTGATGCTGTACAGACGTGTACATCAACTCACATTGTATATATTTAGATGAATTCATTTGTTTACCAAAATCATTGAAAAAAAAAAAAAATTGAATTGCTATGTACGATATTCAAAATTAACAAATCTGTTATTCTTTTAAAGATTAATTCAAAAGACGTTTTTTCAATAAAATGATTTTTGTTACAAAAAAAATGTACTCGTTTTCTTATTTTATACATGGAATTTCTCTGTCATTAGTTTACAGCTAAAAAATTAATGGATAGAAGAGGAAAATTTAAGGAGCAGTTGTGAGGTCAAAGAAATGCAAACTGGAGATAAATTTTCTTTTATTCTCTTACCAACGCTAGCTTACACGTTTGCTTTAGTACTTGCAAATCAAGTGAAAGGTTACAATTTAACGAACAATTTATTTACTTTTTTAAAGCTCAACACCTCTTTGTTAATTGTAACCCTACCTTGGCATACCAATATTTTCGTTTTATATAGTTAATTTTATTAAATTAGACCATTTTTTTAGAACTACACATCTTAAAGCGAGTCTCGTCTTTGATTGAGCATCAAGTTTAGTAAAATTTGGCACGTCTTTATGTATATTCTATGCAAATGAAACATACTATTTGTAATATTGTCACTGGAGGAAATACTTTTTGACGTAAGCTTCTGGCCTGAGATTCGCCCAAGCAACCTTTTGATCAGAATATAACTGTAAATTGCTTTGAAAACTTTGTATAACAAAACGTAAGAAAATGGAACAGAATACATTTTTTTTGTTAATATATTAACTAACTAATACAAGTAAGAAAGATGTTTTTTTGTTGAACACTAAATAGGACGCTCTGAAAAATTCAGTCGATTTTCTCTCAAGACAAAAAAACGTTCGTGACTGCATACACCAAAATTTGTATGCATTGACCTTAACAAATTATAAAGTACAAAGTATAAATATATGTATGAAAAACCATTACAAAGTATTCTGTCGAAGTCTAATACAATCACGTAATAGAATAATTGTATAGCCTATGAGTACTTGAGTGATTCATTTTCATTAAAGACGCAAATTGAGTAGAAAAATAAGAAGAATCGAACTGATTGCTCATGGAATGTCTTGCAAGATCGATCAGCGCTTATTGTGATTGTTTTCCTTAGCGCTTCCTCTTTTTTTTTTTTTTCATTTTAAATACTGAACACAGAAAATCACGTATTTTTGCTTTGTGCCGTCAACGCTTTATTTTTTTTTCATGTGCACTCTTTGATTCTCTTCTTGTGTAATTTGTGCATACTTATTACTTCGGGGCGTGACATTATACTTAATAAAGAACATATTTACGAGCAAGCGAATGGTTTTGTTGATGTTTATAGTAGGCCATCAGGTAAACAGCCTTCCATCGAACGACAAGAGTAGTCTTGAAACACTTGTGCAACATTATTTTATCTTAAAATCTAAGATGAACGTATTTGTGTAATACATGTAAATGTATCTACATATATGTATATATATATATATATAATTTTTTCATTTTTGTACATTGTACGATAAACTTTAGAGTGAATTTAATAGATACAATATATAATTTATAGACACAAGAATCTTTAAGACTCGGAAATCTTGAAAAATCTCATTTTGATTTTATGCGAATCAGTCGACATTTTGTAAATTTAGTTTATCAAAACAAGCAATTTTTTGTACATTTTTAAATTATCTTATTTTTCTTTACATAAGTTTTTCGACTTTTCAAAATTTCGAAGCATAACAGCCCTACTGAGAAAAGCATAAAACTAATGTGTACTAACCCAGTGAAATTCTGTAAAAAAATTTTTTACCACAATCAAGTAAATGGTATTGTTTTCCTTCAACATTGGCATACACGAAAATCTTTGGTAACTTTTTTTTTTACGATATCTACTGTGTTAGTAACAATTGATTTTCATTTTTTCTCAGAAGATATAAAAGTCCTTTATCACTAATCGAGTAATTTAATAATTTTTTCGTTTGGTTTTGCCACTAATAACACCACAATTATAACAAAAATTGCATTTAATGCTACACTGTAAAGAAAATACTCAGTTGGTGTAAAAGAACCTTTTTGTCTTTTTTTATTTATTTAATGTTACCTTAATGTAAGAAAAAAAAAAAAAATAACCAGCAGCATTTGAGACACATTCACATGGTGCTATAGACACATATAAAGAATCGCAGATTAATGGACGGCATAGTGTGTTCCCGCAAGATCCTCAGGTCGTTATTCGTTTAAAGTAAGCACTGCAACATTTAGTGATAGTCGATACCACGGATAGCTAAAGAGATATACTATATTAAAGATACTATCCCTCCAGTGTTTCTATGTACCCGATGCAACAGAAGTTCAACATGTTAGTGCCATGTTGGAGAGATCGTACAATCACTAAGTGGCGAGTCGACTTTTCTTCCACCGCAAGCTGACGTGGGCGTATCTGAGCCTAATTATACACCTTTTGAAGTTTTCTCAAGTGCTAAATGAGAAAATACCAATTTAAAGCATAAATTTATATATTTACTGCTCATTCTACAGTTGAGTATTCATACTGTTTGTAAGCCAAGATTTCTATTGTAAATACTGTTATAATCAGAGAACGCGTATTCCAGCAACGGTACTTGACGATATTTATAAAGGAGTCGATATAGTATTGCTAAAAAATGTACCTGTATGACTTTTTTTAACCGTTCGATTGATTGAGAGTTTTTTGTTTGTGTATGTATGTATCCTAAAATGTTTGTACTCTAATTGCGTACCGAGTCTAAATGGTACTATGGCCATTGAATATAATTATCAATATTATAATCATTGCATTAAAGTGAAAGTCAAAAAAATCTACATCGTAAGTAGGTACTCAGAAATACGCCCAGACCAGTTTCTCGTCGACTCGTTGGCTCTCGCGGGTGAACAGATAGCGCGCTCGCGGGCATGCGTACACAGATAAGGGAAAAAAGATGACCGGGACCGTAATCAATCAGGTGTGCAAGTAATCGAATCTCCAAAACCACCTGATGATTTCTAAAGGGAATTTATGGCGAAGATCTCGCGGGCCGTATCCTAAAACCTGCCCTTGCCGAGGGTATCCATGCGTCCGCCGGACTGCGGGGAGTCGGGTACGCCGGGCTCTTGCAGATACTGCAGCTCCTGGAGCTCCTGAAACTTCTCGTGGTCCCGTATGTGCGCGTAATTCGCCGAAAGACACATCAGGAAGTGTAAGAGGCTCAGGATCACGAGGATCGAAGCTACGGTCGCGAGGATGAACATCACCTCGGCCTTCTCGACGTAGTCCTTGCAAAAGAGCTTCACCTCCTGTGAGCCGCAGATCTCCATGTCCTCGTTTCTCACGTAGTCGGGGAAAAGGAATTCTTGAATGAAAAAAAAATTACATGTACATTAATCATTTGTTATCATGGTAGAGATCGTGCAATTATTTTTTGTGAATCAAATAATTACGGTATGGTTTCAAATCAATGCAGTCCTCGAAAGCCCGAACTCGAGGATTCATGCAGAAGCCCCAGAAAATGGAGAAGGTCAGAGTGATGATGATCAAAAACGCAAACATCAAGAGCCACAAGATATGCATGATGTAGGCGATGGTCATGAACTGCAACAACAAGGAAACATTTTCAAATTAGCAAAAACCAGCATCGAAAAACTATCGATGTAAAGAACATTAGCTGACTATGTTGCTGTTTTTTTTCTTCTTTAAAGCTCAATCCGCAAACTAATACCACAAAAAACGAGAATTACCAGTCGACTCGGTGTGGATCAAAGTAACACAATCCCAACGCTATGAAATTACAAACGAAATATCATATGGCTCGCTTGATTGGGTAACTTGTCCCATATGGCATCAAGTAAGATCAAGTTGTATATTCACACAAAGATTCGACTATATACTAACCACGGCACAGGAGATGCGTCCACCAACGCGGGTCCTCCAGGCCCTGTAGACCTTGGTCCTGGTGGCACCAGTGGCCAGACATCCAACGCAGAGGATCATGAAGCCAAGGGCGGCCATGCTCGCACCTATTACCGAGAAGATCATCTGGAGGGGCTCCAGGCAGTTGAGGCGCAGGTGGAACACCTCGTTCAGCATCAGAGTGCTCAGGGTGGCGCCTCGGAACATGCTGGCGCAGAACACGCCCACGCCTAGGCAGCACATTATCGTCGCTATGAGGGTCGCGTACGGCACCCGGCCCATGCAGTCGTTGCACATGTTACCTGGAACAAGAGAATTTTTCTCATTCATTTCATTGTATTTTTTTTTCTTTTCGTTCGAGTGTGTAAAATCGAGTTTTTCGCCCAGTACGTGAAATGCCATTTACTACGCACGGGTGTAGAAAAATAATTTTTTATCCTAATAATATTTTGAGTTGCTTTTGTTTATTTTTTTTTACACATAATGTTAAGAATTTGATGAACCTAGACTAAAAAACCAGTATCTACAAATATCCGTCCAAAATTAAAAAACTATCATAAAGTTCCAGAAAAAAAAAACTTTTACAAGTTTCATTTACATAATATGTTATCGTGGTAGTGATTGCCCTTTAAAATTTGCATGTAACTTTAAATTATACACGGAGAGAGTACTTAAAAAAATGCACACAAGTGAAAACTTTTTTTTTTTACAGTTTTTTTAATACATTAAAATATTACGCGTTTGAAGTTTCATGTCTCTCGGAAAAAATGAATAAAGATACATCCGAACAACTGGGCTGAGACATATGAGCCGATGTGCAGTACATCTGCAGCAGTAGAAGAGGTAACGCAAGCAGTGAAAAGCAAAAAACGATGTCAACAGCCGTAAGTGCAAGCTTTTCTTGTACCTACTCGACTGCGTTTCAAACGGTCATTGTTCATCCAATTTGAAAGGGGACAATCTGCGCTGAATAAAAATCATATACTTAGTAAAAAAAAAAAAAAAACACGTTTTCACAAACCCTTAGATACGTTTTTTTTGTTTTTTGCAACGAAACGTCACCGACGAATGGTGCAGGACAATACCTACTTAAAACACTCCTACAGTTTTCAAGTAATAAAAAAATTGGAACCTTTGAATGAATAAAACTCGTGAACCAACTAGTTTATAATGGGATAAATGGCGTGGAAAAACCATTTTCACAATGAAATTTTCGTAGCTTAAAATACGCTTGCACACATCATATCCACCCAAGCTAGTAAGTATAATTAACGTGTGAATCATACTGCAGAAAATATCCCAGAATCAATCACCAACAAGGTTTTTTTTTTTTTTTTGCCGCGAATAATCAAATGTAATCCAAGAGATATAAGTATTTCACGTATTTAATAGCAGTCCATTAATTGAATAAGGATTTTTCCTCTGTTCTTCCCTCGAGTTGAGAGCCCCTGCTAGCTCTCCAGCTTCATGTAACATCAAGTCACAATAAGTTTCATACATGCAGGTATAATATGGCAAACACTAAAACAGACCACACTTTTTCTAAACTCAGACCCATTTAAACCGAGACACTCACTGTCCTTGTCCGCCAAGTAGTCAGCGTGCAAGCTGTACTCTGAAAATCTATCAGAACTATCACACCTTCTCCTGAGAGGCATCGCACTGATGCTAGAACGTGTGCGCCTTGCCATGATCACAGAACCGACTGACCGCGCGCTACTTCATCCGAGTGTAGATACCTATATGCTACTCATTCATTCACGCATCAGCACTGAGAGTAAAAAAAAAAAGGTAAAACCACATGAGCAGTCGTGCGTGGACGTGTGGCCACCGACTGAGGAGAGGAAGAGCTTTGGAGCTCGGCCGACTAACTCACATGGCTCGCATCAAAGAGCAAACACAAATAACAGGTTGTTGATAAGATAACGAGTTTAATCTATAATTTTTTTTTTTTTTTTTCTTCCTCCGTTCGTCAAAACGGATCATCTGCTGCAGTTTGGCTCCCACAGCTTTCTTAACTCCTGGTAGCTTTTAGTACATCTTTGTCCAACTTTAATTTATTCTAACGACAATTATTTATTGACGATTCGAACAATTGATGATTGAACTGCGAGAATCCATCACGTTTTCTTTGTTCAGTGTACTTATTACATGGGGAATCATTGATGATGCGTCAATTGGATGGGCGTGACATCATGGCAGGCGTGGGGATGAATTCTTTCGGATTACTGGCTGCGTAAAGGTTGAGTTACACTTGGAAAATAAAAATTGCGAGCGTTACGGTTGGATTACCCTTTCATATCACCTGTTATTTTGGATACTCTGTTATAAGTATATCATGGACTTTTCAAAAACATGTATGAATCATGTGAAGCATGAAATGTTTTTTAAGGTGCCATCAACGTGTTTAGTGTACTTAGGGCCATTAATCAGCTGTAAGCAAACTTTGACCTAAGCAAATTAATGACTTTATTCTCAAGAATGCCAATGTGAGAGGTCAACAGTGCAAAAGAGCAACTTAAAATCACTGCTGGAAAGACTGAGACAGATAAGATATGTACCAATCACTGGTACTAGGTATCTACCAAAAATTACCTTGGGCATAAGGGATACAGATTTAGAGATTTACTTATTAAAATACCGTATATAGGTATTTCGTCCCTTAATTTTAACCAAAAATTACTATCGTGATATTTAAACTTCAACTGATCAAAACGTTATACCAACAAAATAATGGATTTTGTTTTAATGAGATAGCAAGAAAGAAAAAAATTAATTGCAAAAATTTCAAAAGAGGCATACTTTAATTAAAAGTTGAAAGTACAAATTTGTAGGTGATAATTGCAAGAAATTTATGAAGGGCAAACAATTTCGGATACAGGTCATGGAATTTAATTTAGAAAATTTGTGTTAATTAATGTGCATTGCTGATAACCATACAATGATGATTGACCTTCTTCTCTGAATAAATATATTACATAGATGTGTGCGAGTTCTAGTTACGTTTACACAAGTAATGAATATGGATGTAAAAATTTGTAAATAATTAGTAAATATTATCAACCAACGTATTTAACATCTTTGACGAACATAGCATTAATGTTATATAATGTTATGAAATTCAGAAATGTAAATTTTGCTAATTGAAAAAGTCAAACCCATCACAATTTACATGGTGAATGTAATTTAAATTATATGATCAATATTTCTGCAACCAGATAACTTCTTGCAAATATAGTTACCCAGAAAAAAGGGGACCTCCACCCAAGGGAAGTTTTATTGATCATCCAATTGTATTCTGAATGTTGCTATAGAGATCACCTAAAATATTCATCACAAAAGGGAAGCCATACTACCTATCGTTTGTTGGACTGAAACACTAAACATTTACTGCGTTCATACATGAAATTAGGGTAGTTAAACTCTTACAACCGTCAATGCATAAAAAAGTACATTCTAAATTTTCAAAAAATATACAGACCACATAAAAAAAATATTAGGACAATCACTTACTTGTATGTGGGTACAATAAACATAGACATATAAACAAGATTAACCCCTTATCTCGATCTCTTTGAAAACATAAATAATTAAACTCACTTAGTTTTGAAAAAAAATCCACTCTTTAATGATAGTAAACAAACCCATCACGAGTATATACATATATATACATCCTAAAATAAACGAGAGCAAGTGCATCCTACAGGAAAGGGGTGTATTAAGCAAGTGTATAATTATGTACATATTTGCACTAAAAAACATATGGACTCACCCATGGTTGGGCCTCTTTCTTCCTCGTTGTAGGTGTCCGTTGATCAGAACCAGCACCTCGTCTTTTCTTCAAGTAAAAGAGTATCGGTGTGTATCAGTGTACCTGTAATGTCCTTTTGTGGATGCAGTCTCTCCCCTTCTCCTGATGTCAGAGAGCTACACGTTCAGCCGTGTTGAATGAGTGGAAACGGGCGTAAACTCCAAGAAATCGACTTTTCCTAGTATACGTATGTCCGTGCGACTTTCTTTTACCTTTTTCCAAAACAATGATGAGACACGAAGTTACGAGACTTTGAAGTTAGAACGTCCGTGACGTAGACGCGTCCACATGGGTAAGTTTCTGCGACTTGCACGGTGTCCAGTGTCCACCAAGGAGATGATGTTGTCCACTGTATACTGTGCAGCTCGCCTAAAGTAACGTACTGTCAGCAACCGTCGAGCCCAGCGATCGAAGAGTATGTAGGCAATGTACCTACTGCGTCTTGGGCAACTCGGGGGTCTTGGTCTTGGGCAGGTGGTGGTGTATACTGTGTCTAGTACCTATATATGATAGGTGTATGTGTATAGTACATAAAAAAGGTACAGCCTACAGGGTACGTTAGATACACGCGCCAATCCAATGCCAATGCACACATTGCACGACACCTTCTCTCATGGGCGGTAAATACTTAGTATACCTTCCCAAGCGGAAATTTTTTTTGTGATTAAGTAACGAAAAAAAAAAAATAACTAATAGTAATATTTTATTAAGTCCAGATTTGAGACTATAATAAAATTTATTAAGTGTTTTTATTAGTTATTACTTTCATCATTTTTTATTATTTTTTCTTTTCGTCATGAATGTCATTATAGAAACATCGAAAAAAGTAGCAACTAGAAACAACTTTTATGATTAATGATCACTATTTAATACTT